GAGTATCACTGGTGTGGCAAAAAAAAAAAATGAATAAACAAATAATAAATATAATATTTGCAGGTCAGTAAAAAAGTGCCACAGGGCAGACAGTACAGTGGGTAAGGTACTTGTCTTGCATGGGACCCAGGTTCAATCTAGGTTTCCCAAATTTGCCAGGATTAATCCCTGACTACAGAGCCTTGGCTAAGCAAGCACCAGGTGTGGTCCAAAAACAAAAAAAACTCAAAAAAACAAACAAACAAAAAAAAAAGTACAGCAGACAGGGGGCTGGAGCGATAGCACAGCGGGTAGGGCGTTTGCCTTACAAGTGGCCAACATGGCCGACCCGAGTTCGATTCCTCCGCCCCTCTCGGAGAGCCCGGCAAGCTACCGAGAGTATTCGATATGCCAGACACAGTAACAGCAAAGTCTCCAATGGAGACGTTACTGGGCCCGCTCGAGCAAATCGACGATCAACGGGAGGGCCTTTACCTTTACCTATGAGCCAGGAGTAACCCCTGAGCATCTCCGGGCGTGACCCAAAAAGGAAAAAAAAAAAAAAGTACAGCAGGCAGAGTGAATGACCTTGCAATGCGCCCAATCTGAGTTTGATCCCTGGCACCACATATGAGCACTGTTTGGGAGTGATCCCTAAGCACAGAGCTAAGAGCAAGCCCTGGCGACTGCTGGATGTGGCCCCAAATCTGAAACAAACAATAAAAAAAAAGATATTGCATTTTACTGCATAATCCTCAGAGTTCATGGGTTTGTTTGTTTGTTTTACCATACCTGACAATGCTCAGGGATTACTTCTGACTCTGCACTCCCAGTGGTACACAAGGGACCATATGAATGTCAAAGATCAAACCTGGCAGTCACATGCAAGGCAAACAACCTTCTGCTATAATACCTCTCCAGCTCCTCATGGCAATTCTTATTGCAAAAAAAGTTTGGTATATTGGGCTAGAGCGACAGTACAGCAGGAAAGGCCGTTGTTTTACATCATGAACTGACCCAGATTGGATCCCGGGCACCCCATATTGTCTCTTGAGCATCGCAAGAAGTGATTTCTGAGCAGAGAGGAGTAAACCCTGAGCAGATCTGGGTGTGGCCCCCCCCAAAAAATGTTGTGTGCAACTACTATGTGAAGAGAGAAAAAGTGTGTATGTGTGTGTGTAAAAGTGTTTGCGCACGCATGTGCGGACACCATATTACACGAAAACAAGGTGCAGGACCTGAGTAATAGTATAGTGGATAAATTATCTGCCTTGTACTTGGCCAACCCTAGCATCACATATGGTCTCCTGAGTCCCTTAAGAATAATCCCTATTGGAGCTGGAGCGATAGCACAATGAGTAGCGCGTTTGCCTTCCATGTAGCCGACCGGGGTTTGATCCCCGGCATCCTATATGGTCCCCAAACACAGCCAGGAGTAATTCCTGAGTGCAGAGCCAGGAGTAACCCCTGGGCATCACTGGGTATGACCCAAAAAGGAATTAAAAAAAAAAGAAAAGGAAAGATCCCTGAGGGGATAAAGCAGTAATACAGCGGGTGCTTTCCTTGCACAGGGCCATCCCAGGTTCAGTCCCTGGCATTTCACATGGTCCACGGAGCACCACCAGGGGTAATTCCTGCGAGCTGAGCATCTTCGGATATGGGCCCCCTTCCCCGGGAAAAAGGGATCTGAGTGCAGAGCCCTGAACATTGCTGATATGACCCTAAAACAGAACATTTAAAAAAAAAAAAGGGAAGGAGGCAACCAGGGCTACACCCATCAGTGCTCAAGTAACCATGCACGCTAGAGCTCAAACCCTGAGCATGGTGTATGTCAGCCATGTGTTTGAGACCTGCGAGCTGTTGCCCTAACCCCGCACAGTACATTAATCCTTATATTTGTTTTGTTTTGGGGCCACACCCGCTGTGTTCAGGGCTTACTTCTGGCTCTGTGCTCCAGAGTCATTCCTATAGAGGAATGGAGAATCATAAGCAATGCCAGTAATCAAACCAGGGTCGGCTGCATGCAGGGAAAGTGCCTTAACCCCTGTATTAGCTTTCTCTTTTCAGACAAAAAATTACTCAGCGTATCTCTGGAAATCTACTTACCTTCTTAAAGCGAACAAACAAAAAGGTTCACCCCTATCCTTACGCTACTGCTACTACTGGCTCCCTGAGGGTCAGTTATCACCCACTTTGGGAAAGACTGTCCAGAGGAAGGATTCTGAACCATCAGGGTCAAGTCCTCTGATGTGTTCAGGATTCTGTTTCCACCCAGCCCTCCAGGACTCTGTTACCCCTCTCTCCCACAGCACAGACACCTCCCTTTCGACCAGTTATTCATCCTGCAATTAAAACACCGCCCCACCAATCCTCCCTCGGCCCCACACTCACAGTAGTCACCTTTCCATTTCTCAGCTTCCCTTCATAGAAAAACTTCCCCAATGAATCGTCTGTTCTGTTCCCATTCCAATCCATTCTGTCTCCATTACTCTTCTGAAAATGTTCCTGTCGAGGTCACTAATTCTTGAAGTCTCTCAATCTGCCACTCAAAAGCATCAGGCAGGACTCGCTACTTCTACCGTTGTCATTTCTCTTGCACCCATTCATGAATGCCAGTGCACTGAGGGATCTACCTGAGTTTTCTCTCTCCATCTATTCTCTTAATGCTAAACCTGTTCTCTCGAGACAAGATGACCCCTACTTCTCAAAGACTGATCCCAGCCCCAGTATCTCCCCCATACTCGGGGTTGGAGCAACAGTACAGCGGGTGGGGCGTTTGCCTTGCACGCGGCCCACCTGGGTTCGATTCCCAGCATCCCATATGGTCTCCCAAGCACCAGCAGGAGTAACTCCTGAGTGCAAAGCCAGGAGTAACCCCTGAGCATCGCCGGGTGTGACCCAAAAAGTGAAAAAATAAATAAATAAATAAAAAATAATCTCTCCCATACTCTTTCTTTGGTGTGTGCTCAGGGATCACTCCTGGCAGTGCTCAGGGGACTATATGGGGTGCCCAGGATCGAAGCTAGGTTGGTCACAGGCAAGGCAAGAGCATTACTCCTATACTCCTATACTATTTTTTTTTTTTTTTTTTGCTTTTTGGGTCACACCCAGCGATACACAGTGGTTACTCCTGGCTTTGCACTCAGGAATTACTCCTGCTGGGAATCAAACCCGGGTTGGCCACGTGAAAGGGAAACGCCATACCTGCTGTGCTATAGCTCCAGCCCCTATAATTATCTCTTATACTCTCTCCCTTTCTTATTTTATCTACCTGGGGCCATACTAGGTAGTGCGGAGGGGCTACTCCTGGCTCTAATCGCAGAAGAACAAATGCAATGTCAGGGTTGAACCGTTCAATTTGGGTTGCCCTATGCAAGGCAAGCACCCTTACCCTCTGTACTATCTCTACAGGAATGCCACCCATTTCCTCCCTTTAGCGTTACCATTCAGATTTAATGCACCTAAAAACCTTAGATTTACTCCAGTATCTCTTCATATTCCTGCTTTTTCTCCTGAAAATCACCAACTGTCCACACAAGCCTGGCTATTCTCCTCAACTCTTCTCTTCCCTAAACTTACACATTCAATCAACTAATAAGCACTATAAAATTTACTTCAAATTCACCCACATCTGTCTAACTCTCTTAAAACCACCATCATTTCTTACTTGGAGACCACAATAATTGCATCCTAATGAGTCTTCTCTAAATCCATTCTCAAATTTAGCCATTTCACTCTTAGAGTTTCTTGTGACTGCCCAGATAAATCCCAAATGCTCTACATGCGATGACCGTTTGCCTACATACTGTGACTGTTCACCTCTCCAGGCTCCCCACACTCACTCCCTCACTAACCTCAACACAGACAGTCAGACAGTGGCCTTTCTTCCTCATCATCCTGCAGATCCCTGCTCAAATGGCTCTTTTTCAGAGAATTCCTCCCTGACCATTTCAAAAATGATTATTTCCCAGCTAGTCTCTCCTCATCTTGCTTCACAGCATCTTATTAGAAACTAATAATTTTCTTTTATAGGGGTGCAGGGGATTTGAACCAGGGACAGCTACATGCAGACAAGAACCCTACCCTTTCCGGCCCCTTCTATTTTTGTTTGTTTGTTTGTTTGCTTGAGGGCCACACCCAGCAATGCTCAGGGGTCACTCCTGATTCTGCACTCTGGAATCACTCCTGGTGGTGCTTGAAGAACCGTACGGGAAGCTAGAGATCAAACCCAGGGTAAGTTCCTTACGCTTACCCGCTTTGCTATATAGCTTTGGCCCCTTGCTGTTTTTTTCTTTTCTTTTTTATGGGGGCTTTTTGGGTCACACCTAGAAATGCTCATGGGGTTACTCTTGGCTCTGCACATAGGAATTACTCCTGACAGTGCTAGAGGGACCCTATGGGGTGCCAGGGATCGAACTCGGATCAGCCATGCACAAGCAAAAGACTGTACTATTGCTCTGGCTCCCTGTTTTTTCTTAAAATAATTTATTATTGTTGTTGTAGATAGGGTAACAAGTTTGCAACAGACATACATTAAACTTATGTGGGAAAGTAATATTCCTGATTAAGGATGAGAGACAACAGTCCTTCACATGACATCAGGATCAGAGAGATTATGAAGAGGTTGAAGGGTTTGCCTTTCACAAAGCCGACCAGGGTTCAATCCCCAGCATGTGATTCCCCTAAACACAGGTGTAAACACTGAGCATAGAGCCATGAATAAGCCCTCCCCCGCCTCAAAAAAAAAAAAAGAGAGAGAGAGAGAGAGATAGAAAGAGAGTTTAGGATGGAAAAATGCTAATTTTGGAAAGTTTGTAGCAAAGGGAAATTTCTATTCAGGGCCAAGGAAATGGCCCAAAGGACTGGAGGGCAAGAGCTCCAGGTTCAATCCACAGGACAAAACATCACCAAATGGGGTCCTAACTCCCCACTCCCCGAAGTATTCTTCTTGAACGGGAAAGCCCATCTAACAAAGGGCTAATATGTGTTCAAAAGAGAGAAGGATTAGCTCCTATTCTTACCATTTCTGAATATTCCGTCTGTTCTCCCTCATTATACAGTTCTGGGGGCAGGTTATAAATTCGCAGGATGTTATCAGCACTATTGGTCAAGATGCAGGAACCATCAGGGGCCCTGGAGAAGGTAAGAGAAAGCTGCGTGGATCTATAGTTTCCAAATCTATATCTAATCTGTAGCTTAGCCTGCCTCTGGGATAAGTGGGAGACATAGTCCCAAATAGAATTTAAAGTCCATTCTTTTTTTTTTAAATGTAGGAGTACTGCTATTTATTCAGCCATTGATTAAGCTGATTGAGTTGGGCATGAACTCCATATTTAAAGTCCATTCTTTTTTTTTTTTTCCTTTTTGGGTCAAACCCAGCGTTACTCAGGGGTTACTCCTGGCTCTGCATTCAAGAATTACTGCTGGTGGTGCTTGGATTGAACCCAGGTCGGCTGCGTGCAAGGCAAACACCCTTACCCACTGTGCTATCACTCCAGCCCCTGAAGTCCACTTATTTTTTTCTTTTTGGGTGACACCCAGCGATGCTCGGGGGTTACTCCTGGCTCTGCACTCAGTAATTACTCCTGGCAGTGCTGAGGGACTATATGGGATGCTGGGAATCAAACCCGGGTTGGGCATGTGCAAGGCAAAGGCCTGACCTGCTGTGCTATCACTCCAGCCCCTAACGTCCATTGTTAAGAGGGAATCTAACCCCTCCTCCCACCACTTATGAATCCCTCTCCCAGATAACTAAAGTGTTTTTTTTTTATTTATTTATTGCTTTTTGGTCACACCTGGTGATGCACAGGGGTTACTCCTGGCTCTGCACTCAGGAATTACTCCTGGCGGTGCTCAGGGGACCACATGGGATGCTGGGAATCAAACCCAGGTCGGCCGCATGCAAGGCAAACGCCCTACCCGCTGTGCTATCTCTCCAGCCCCCAAACTAAAGTGTTTTAAAGCGAAAATCCTGAGAGATTATCTCCCTGCCTCCTTGTCCTTACCACTTGCAGCCTTTCAAGAAGTTCTCGTGTTGGGCTCTGAATTCAGACCAGGAACCAGTGAGAAATCGAGGTGACTGTGAGAAGTTGTAGCTCCAAGTGCTGGAAGGAAGACGGGAAGACATAAACCTAGGTGCCAAGGCCAAAGGGAAGCAGGCTGGAGAGGCGGGCCTGAAGACTGGTGAGCGAGGTGTATCTCACTCTTAACATTCCAGATTTCGGGGTCAAAACCCATCACCACTTACGTGTATCCCTCGTCCTCTGGATCCGGGGCCTCAGCCACACCTTCCATGGCTTCTCCGGCGTCCACCTCTAATGTGTTCGTTTCTTCTTCTGGCGGGCTCACATTTCTAGAAAGCTCTTGCTCCTCAGTTCGAGGGCTCAACTCACTAGGAGTAATGAACCCCGTTTCCAGGGGAGTGGCGACAGAAGCTGGATCCCCCTCCCCGAGCTCCTGGGGCAGAGCTGAGCCAGCCACGGAGTCTGGGGACTTACTAGGCGGATCAGCCCCGCCGGATGACGGTGGCATCGGTTCAGGATCAGTACTTTTATCCATTAGGGAAGCCTGAGGAGAGAGAGGGGCTGGAGCTGGGGCCAGGTCGGAGGAGAAACAGTCTGGAGACACCAGCGGCTCCCCCGGCGTCTTCATACTGCAGGACGGGAGGCTGACTTGAGTTATCCGGGGAACCTTCTGCCTGGGCAGGGCAGCAGAGCGCCCCGGAAGGCCTACATGTTCGCAAGGCTAGGGATGCAGAGTTGCAGAAACCCACCTGTTTGCCCCTTCCTCCTTTTCCGGGAGCGGACAGAACGCCCCCCAGCAGGGAAACCAAGCCCGAGACACGGACGCGCACGCCTCAGGCTGCAGAGCCGGTCGGTAGCTCAGCGCCACTAGATCTCGCGGGACTCGGAGCCGCCTTCCGATTGGACCGCCTCCTCCCCGGTCAGATTTCGCGGGCTGCGCAGGGCGGGGCGGGGAGAGGATTTAACAGGCGAAGGTTTCCTGTTCCCATAAGCCCTGGAGCCCCTGGAGTCTGCCGGGAGTTGCAGTTTCATATTTCCAGAACGCAGTACTTGGGCTCGTTCTCAGGATTCGCATTTATTTGCCTTCCTCCACCGTCACCTGCAGATGGCGCTAAGCGCTATGATTGATCTCTTTCGCCAAATTTCTCTTCATTTATTAAACAAATGTTTTATTACTGAGCTCATATTTATTTATGGGAAATAAATATTAAGGTCTCAGATCCCCTGAGGCTTATGTTACTGTGTGAAGACAAAGAACGGATCTTCTAAATAGTGACAAGGGCTGTCAAGGATATTAAAACAATATGTAACAGAGAGTATACGGGGGAAGTACGTAAGATTGGGACGTGTTAAATAGGGTATGGGGGGAGCACGTTAGATAATTCCGAATAGGTAATATTTGGGTTTTGTTTTGTTTTCCTGGGCCATACCCGGCGATGGTCAGGGATTACTCCCTGCTCGGCTCTCAGGAATCTAGTGCTTGGAGGACTATGTGAAATGCCGAGGACCGAACCCTGATCTGGCGCGTGCAAAGAGAGAGCTCTACCCCCTGTCCTCTCTCCGGCCCCCATCTCGCTTTTTAAGACTCTGCTTTCAGTGTCGAAATGCTGTACTCCGCAGGTAGGGGAACTTGCCTTGCAGGCTACTGACCCAAAATCGAACCCTGGCACCCCATATGGTTCTCCGAGTCCCTCCAGCAGTGATCGCAGAGCCAGAAGTAAACCTTGAGCATCACCGGGTGTGGCCCCTCAACAAAAACTGAATCCAAGAGGGTTGTCGTTGTTTTTCTCTCTTTCTCATCCAAGCAGATGGGAGGCAAGTATAAAGATTTTCTTTTTTCAACCTTAACTGCACAATAGTAGGAATCTTCTAAATTATTACTACCAATTCCGCTTTCAATAGTTTGGTTTGTCTAACTATCCCGATACCAAAATGCCAAGAGCAGCTACAACGTCAATTCCGCAAGAATACTGACTCTCCCAGAATCCCTTCTACCCGCAGGACAATTACTTGCCCTTACTTGTCATGGCGACCGTCCAGCTTTGTGCCAGGAGACTCGCAAGGGTTGCTGGGATTGGGATTTTCCCCTCCCATGTGCTCCGACTGGCGCTAAAAGTTTTGTGCTCCTCAAAAGTCCAGAGCCACCTTACTCAGCGCAGGTAGCTTCCTGGGCTCCAGGGACACCTTGTCTCCGGCCTCGGAGTGTGCTTCCCAGGACGGTGACACGCTGCCCAGGGTCGGGTAAGCTCTTGACTAAGGCTGATGCGTCCTCTGAGTCACAGGCTCTCTGCCCCGTGCATTTTCCAATGGAGAGAATCTTGGGGTTTCGAGGGTGGGGCGTTTGGAGCCAAGCTACTTTCGGGGGATAGACTCTTTGACAGCGGCACTAGGGTCAGAATGCAGGTCTGGGAGGTCTGAGGGTAGGGGGCGTGAGGAAGTGCGTTAGGACCTGCCGAAATTAAAGCTGCACACCTGGGCTGGGGACTGCGCAGGCCTGTAAGCTCTCCCACCACCTCTGCACACACACACACCTACACACACACCTGCCCATCCGTGCGAGGTGTGGGAATCCTGAAATAAGATACAGAGAGCATCAGAACCTGAGACTTGGAGGATCGGAGCTCTGACAATTCACGGCTCGAGATTTTAGGGCCTGTAGCATCTCGATAAAACCTCGAACTCCATATTTTTTCAAAATTTTTTGGGGGTGATCAGGAATGCCGACGCTTCTAGTCCCACGACTTCCGGACCTTTGTCCTTTCTGGGGTGATCTTTCCAGCCGGCCTCTGCTCCGCTGAACGAGAAAATCCAACTGAAGGCTTGTCAGTCGTGGAAGCGGGAAGCGCTAAAAGAGAGGTTTGCCCTCAAAAACCGGTAAGTCGGTGGCTTTAGCGCGTTCCCAGATCCTGGGATCCCAGTCATTGTTTGGCGCTACATTCTCTTTTCTGCCCCATGCAAGAGCATTTCCGGTTTGGTGTGGGTTTGTTTTTCTGGTTTTTTTTTTTTTGGAACAGCTTACTTCTTCCCGAAGAGAGGGATGTTAAAAGAGACAATGTTTTCCAGACTGGCTCTTGTTGCGGAGGGAGACGCTAGCTCTTTCCCTACTTAATCTTTCCCCCTTCCACGGACACTTTGCGCTTTGGACCGAAGAGTATTTGTTTTGCTGAAAACCTCAGTCCACCGCATTGATTGGTCTGCTCCACCAATCGGCTGCAATCCAGGCGGACAATACCATTCCCTGGGACGGGGTTTTATATTTTTAATGTGCAAAGAACAGAACCTGGGCATTTTGCAGAATTAGTACAGTTGAGGAACAAAGTTGTTAAGAGAGTTGGCCATTTGTAGGGATGAGACGATCTTATTCTTAAGGACGCGACTACTTTTGAGTTAAGCCATTTCGATTTCCGACGCAGATTGAACGTCGCGAGGCGGAAGGGGCGGGCGCGGGGGCGGCCCAAGATTCTTGGCGCAACTTCTGGCACCGCTGGGTGTTTTCTTACTTTGGTTTGGTTTTGGTTTTGGCTGGTGGGAGGCGATGAAACCCCCGGGGCGTTGCCTCTTTTCGCCGGCGCTGCGATCTGTTAGCCACACACCTGCCATGCCGCCGCTACTGGAATACTAGGTCCTTGTGTTTTTACCGGTTTTCTAAATTAAGGTAGCATTTATGCCCACTGCAATAAAGGGTGTGAGCTAACCATCGTGTGAATGTCTATCAAAGTGCAGAACATTTTGGGGATCGAGAGATGACTCAAAAGGCTAGTTTGCGGGCCAGGAGATAGTATAGTGGGCAGGGCGCTTGCCTTTTCAAGCGTTGACCCGGGTTCGATCCCCGGCATATCATATGGTCCCCTGACACACCACCTGTGTGCAGAGCCAGGAATGATCCCTGAGCATAGCTGGATGTGATTCAAAAACGAAACAGAAGATTCAGGAGCCTGATTCAGGCCTGGACACTGCAGAGAACAACCCGCAGCCACCGAGCCTGAGCACCACTAATGTGGCCAAAAAAATCAAACAAAATGCAGAACTTTTTTCCCCTTGGCTTTTTGGGGCACACATGGCGATGCCTAGGGGTTACTCCCGGCTTTGCACTCAGGAATCACACCTGGCATTTTGGTATCATTGGTGCTGGGGCTCGAACCCACGTCAGCCGCGGGCAAGGCTGATGCCACCCTACCTTGCTGTACTATCGCTGTGGCCCCACCCCCCCTTTTTCCCACCCCCCTTTTTTAAAGCAGAACATTTTCACCCCAGAAAAGTTTCAGTGCTTCATCTGTATTTTTCCTTTAGAGTATTTTGGGAGCCACTGACTCTCAGGGATCACTTCTGGACAGCTGGAAGGGGTGGGATTTGTGGTGCAGGGGCTTGAACCAAGGGCGGGCACGGGCAATGCAAGTGCCATCGCTTCAGCCCCACCTATATATATTTTTTGTCCACGTCAGTTTGGGGGCGGGGGCAGAGAATTTCACCCCACCCAGCAACACCCAGGGGCTCTTCCTGTCTCTGCTTCCCAGTGATGCCTAGTGGAACTCAAGGAACTACAAGTGGGGCTGGAGCAATAGCACAGCGGGTGGGTGGGGAGTTTGCCTTGCACAAAGCTGAAGTGAGTTCGATTCCCAGCATCCCACATGGTCCCCCGAGCACCGCCAGGAATAATTCCTCAGTGCATGAGCCAGGAGTAACCCCTGAGTATCGCTGGGTGTGACCCGTAACCCACAAAGGGGAAAAAAAAAAGATTCCAAGTGCAGGGGATCGAATAGGTGGTCACGGGGCTGGAGAAGAGTATAGCGTATTGGACATTTGCCTTTCACGCGGCTGGCTCAGATTTGATCCCCTGAACACTGCCAGGAGTAATTCCAGAATGCAGATCCAGAAGTAACCCCTGAGCACTAGGGTGTGGTCCCAAACCAAAACCAACCAACAGGTAAGCCATATTCAAGGCACGCGCCTTGGTCCTTGTCCGGCTGTTGCCAGTTTTGCCTGTTGGAGAATTTCATGTAGGGAGTTGTGTAATATATCCCTTTTTGGTTTTGGTTTTGGTTTTGGGATACACCGGTGGTGTTCTCCTGACTCTGCTTTCAGTGACCAGTCCTGGTGCGCTCAAGGGACCATATTGGTTGTGGGGAATGAACGGAGGTCTGGCAAGTGGAAGGCAGGTGCCCTACCTGCTGTATTATCTCTCCGACCCCAATATGTCACCTTTTTGTTTCTGGTTTTCTTCCTATATTGTAACTTAACTATAGTTAAGCCATCTTACTTGGATTAACTATTTTAATGTTAAAATACATTAGATGAATAAATTACTGGTCATTCCCATTCTCCTTTTGATATTTTCTCTTTGGAGATTGGGGGTGGAAGGGCCGGAAGGGGTTTGGGTCACACGCTAGGGAGCTCTGCTTAGGGTCATTCTTAGTGGCCTTGGGGATGGAACCAGGGTCTACTGCATGCTTGGCGGTTGTCTTAGGAATGTTTTGGCCCACACTCAGAGGTACTCAGGCACTACTCCTGGCTCTGTGCTGGGGACGGTGGAGGGTCGAGAGAAAATTTGAAATGTTTACTTCAACTTTCATCCCTGACATCATCTCACACAGGCAGGGCATGCATACCCCCCCAATATATACACAGCTGGAGCCTGAGGGCCAGATTTTATGATACTGTGCGGAGTGGTCCTTTCGCTCCCTGACATTACTTCTTTTTTCTTTTTGAGTCACATCCAGCGATGCTCAAGCTCTGCACTCAGGAACTACACCTGGCAGTGCACAGGGGACCATGTAGGTTGCTGCGAATTGAACCTGGGCCCGCCCCACGCTGGGCAAATGCCCTACCCACTGTATGCTATCCTCTGCCCCCGTCCCACCTCTCCTCCCCCCCAGCATTACTTAGAAGGATCCACAGATTTTCAGTTTATAATAAAGGGATCAAGACTGTTTTGTTTTTGGGGGCTGGAGCAATAGCACAGCAGGTAGGGCATTTGCCTTGCATGCAGCCGACCCAGGTTCGATTCCCAGCATCCCAGATGGTCCCCTGAGCACCGCCATGGGTGATTCCTGAGTGCAGAGCCAGAAGTAAACCCTGTGCATTGCTGGGTGTGACCCCCCCCAAAAAAAAAAGACTGTTTTGTTTTTTTCTTCTGTGGAAATACATATCCACTTCTTCCAGCCCTACTGTTGAAATAGCCTTCTTTGGTTAGCTTTGTCTTGTGGTGGGCCACATGGTGTGCTCAGGGCTGATTGCCAACCACATTCAGAGATATGTGGTGCCAGGGATTGAACCAGAGTTGGCCTTGTCCAAGACAAACACCCTACCTGCTATACTGTCATCAGGCCCCATTTACACAATTGTTTCCATTTAGTTTTACTATCTTAATTCTGTTTCTTTTGTTCTTCGTTCATCTCTTAAAACATTTGAGAAGAAACAATACCAAACTCATACTAATTCAGACTGTAGAGGAGGTAACATTTTCAAGGTGTTTGTTTTTGTTTTTGTTTTTGCTTTTTGGGTCACACCCGACCATGCACAGGGGTTACTCCTGGCTCTGCATTCAGGAATTACTCCTGGCAGTGCTTGGGGGACCATACGGGATGCTGGGAATCGAACCTAGGTCGGCCACGTGCAAGGCAAATGCCCTACCGTCTGTGCTATTGCTCTAGCCCCACATTTCCCAAGTTTTTTGGGGGGGGTTGTTGTTTTGGTTTGGGTTTTTTTTTGGGGGGGGGGGGGAGCACGCCTGACAATGTTCAGGGTTTGTTTACTCCTGGCTCTGGACTCAGGGATCACTCCTGGCTGCCCTCAGGGACAATATGTTATGCAGGCTGGTTGTATGTAGAACCTTACCAGCTGTATTATTATTCCAGTTCCCTCAGTTTATCTTATGACCAGGTAATACTGATAGCAGAACCAGAAAAGGACATTACAAGAAAAGAAAAATTTTATATGCATATCTTCTGAAATGTAGTTTATCCTAGGACTGCTATATTTATTTAACATTCAAAACTCAGTGTAATTACCTTGTTACAGATTACAGGATAAAAATCCTATGGTCAGGCAGAAGAGATAGCACAGGATTTAAGGTGCAACACGAGATCTGCTCCAGTTTGATTCCTGGCACTGTTTGTGGTTCCCCCAACACTGCCAGGAGTGATCACTGAGGAGCATCAGAAGTAAGCCGTGAGCACTGCCAGTTGTGCGCCCCTCCCCTCCACAGAAAACTAACTCTCAGGAAGAAGGGGCTAGAGAAATAC